CCGATTTCCCCATTATACCGCCGGCAACTCTATTTTAGGCATTAGATCGTCATAACTGTGAACATCGTGAGCTTGGCACAGCTCGTACCGATCACAGGTTTCGTACCTCACATTTTGCCCCTGTTTAAAGGTGAGTTCCACGAGCTTCTAATGTTAACTCGCTTTACATTGTAAATGCTTAAAACTCTAAGATCCTGGTAGGTTACTCATGTAGGGCGGTATATTTGGTCCATTCCGACAACTACAAAGACATCAAGAGCGATGGTGTAATAGTAGAATATAACTATTTTATGAAGTAACCTCTTCTGTGCTGGAGTTGACACTGCAAAGATCATCCCCAAGTAGTAGGAGTATACCAAGATATTGATTCTTTCTCGTAACCAAATAGATCGAGTAAGTAGGGGACATGTCAAGGATACCCGGTTCGCCAGATCATGTGAGTCATTGTAGGGCAGGGTATCGGGGTTATTTCAATAGGTTTAGACCGAGTAATGTCATTGACGATTTCATCCAACATAATTAAACTTCTAACTATTTTGGGTATATAAGAGTGGATGTTGCCGATCTGCAAATTTTTACTCTTTTTCTACCCTTCGATCTCGATTTATGATTTGGCTCCTGGCTTCTTCGCTTCATCACTTTCATCTTTATGGTAACTCTTTCTATTGCTTTTTTTTTTTTTTTTTTTTTCATAGTGGTAAGCCCAGTAAAGGTCATCGTTGTTTTCCTCCAGGGTCATATACGCGAGTTTCATTCCACTGTGGTAAGTATAGGGCAAGTCCTTTCGTCGGGTTTCTAGATATGCATTGGCTGTTTCTTAACCTCTTCAGCCTTGTGCCTTCCTTTTCTGTCTTTCTAGAGCATTTCCAAATCAAGACTTCTGTGACGTATACGTTCTGGGGTCTCTTCTTTTCTTCTTTACCTAATTCCACGAACCTTTTACGACTTGACCAGGGCAGTGTCGAACATCGGGACTCGAGGTGGTACGAATTCTTCCCTCTTATTTTTATCAAAATCACCCTCGTTCTCGTCTAAAAATACTCTAACTTTTTTCTTCTACTTTTCATTAGCTTTTTCCAAATCCTTTTCCACTATTATTCTGCTTTGGTCAAACCCACCAGGATCGAATTGTTCTTTCGAATCACCGTCTTCTGCACGTTTCCAACGCCATTCCCATACTTCATTTTTTTTGGCTCCGGCTCCATTTTCATAGCGATCCCCAACCAGATACGTTGCATCCGCATCATCTGACTCACCAGATCTTTGATGATAGGTGAAGGCTTTATTTTCATTCTTTTTAACTCTACCTTCATTTCGGTAACATTCACCGATATTTGTCATATCTTCTTTGGTCTCGGCAGGTTCATTTTCAGTAGGTTCTTTTGCTCCTCTACTCCATCCGACCCTACTTCTAAATCTTTCAACTTTCTTTATCCACGATTCGCAGGCGTAATCCAGGTCTTTACTTTTTTTGGTAAGTTCTTTTACGTCTTCTTTCTTTTCATTATCTTCTTTATCTACAATCGTTTCATCGTTGTCATCGTTATCTTCTTCATCTTCATCAGCTTCATTGTCATCGTCTTCATCTTCGGTTTCACCTAAGATTTTTCCGATTCTCGCAGGTATGTTTTCCTCATACTTTTCTCTTTTTTCTTCTTTAGTTTCTTCCTTTTCTTCTCTTTTAACTTCAACTTCTTTTTCTTTGTTCTTTTCAACTCTAGCCTCTTCTTTTTCAACTTCGATTTCTTTTTTTTCTTTAACCTCCTTAACTCCATCTTCTTCGCAGTAAGGTCCAACTGGGTATATTTCTTTGGCACCTCCTATTCTAGCAACCTTTATACGATCGTCGGGTAAGTCGTTATTTTTTTCTTCAGCTTCTTTCTTTGTCGCCTTAACGTCACTAACTTTCTTTTTCTCGACTTCTATTTTTTTGCCTTTTTCTTTTTCGGGAGCCCATTTTTGTGTGATAGCTTCACATTCGGTGATGAGCTTTTGAAGAAGAACTTCCAATTCGGTTTCTCGTTCTTCTTCTTTAGAGCTGAAAGCAATACTTTCAAGGGGTTCTTCTGCAGATTCGTCGTAGTAGGCATCGAATACTTCAGTTATAGTAGGTCTTGGTTGTCAAGACTTCAGGAGAACTTTCGGGATGGGGACTACAGAAGGTACTAGAGGTGGATTCAATTGGATATATGAAGGCAGGTGCACAATATTATCTTTTCCTTCGTCATCACCATCGGGGTTGTTATCCTGGCTAACATCTGTTAATATTTTAAAAAAATATTCTAGGGCTTGTGGGTCATAAAGACTATGGTCTCTTATGGTTTCATCAACCATTTCCTGGACTTCTATGATTTGTTCCTGAGTAAGTGTATTCAACAACTTCAAACTTTCTAGCTGCATCATTCTTATCTTTGGGCAGCTACTAATGTCATGGTTTCCTTTTCTACAATAAGAACACCAAGTCTTTCATCGAGGCCTTTGTCTAGTCATTTTCATCATTCGGGATTTAACTTTTCTTCGAGGTTGGTTACATATTGGCAAGGGGTAAATATCGTACATTTTTTTATTTTTATTTTTTTTCACTTGTCTTCAATCTTTCGATACGGCTTACTAACACACTAACTCTTGTACTCACTATTCCTATAATCAAAACACGGTTGGGCCTTCCTCTTGAACCTCAAACCGGAATTCAATCACCTCAACTGTCCACAGTACGTTGGGAGAGTTGGAAACAACAACGGTAGTCCTCAGTATGTCGAGAATCAATCAGACAGGGTACGATACACTTTACATTAGTCCTGTGAGCACAAATACAAGAGCATCGATCATACTACTTATGCCAGATGCCTCAACCCGGAATTGTACTATATTGATTCAGGGTTGGTACTCTTCTTTTTGGATAAGTTCTCTCTTTTTCTCTAATCTCGGCTTTCTACACTTGTAGATACTAACCGAAACTATGCTAGTTCTTCTTTTTTTCCACAGCCAGGATTACAGTACGTCGAATCGGGCTGGAATATCTTCTTTGAGTCTTACGTTTCAGGTCTTCTAATTTTGCAGCCCAACTGCTTGAACCGATCTCTTCAAGATTCGTTGATGGGATATTGTACGATCTCACAGTCATCACCAAAATGTTATGAGCGGAATAGCTGTGACTCGGTCGCTCCACAATCCAAAAACTCACATAACCTGCGGGTAGTAACCTTATGAAAGTGGTGTGTTAGATTTGGCTAGTGGGTGATTTAAGGCTTTGGTTACTCTGAGTCAGCAATGCTAGGTCACGTGAACAAGGGCTTAACGAACGACAAATTATAACTTTAGGGTTCAAA